CATCAAATAAATGAAGGTTCTTTTTAAAAGTTTACATATCCATCACTTTTCAACCTACTCTGACAAGAAATCTTCTATCATAGAAAGGTTCAATAGAACTCTCAAAGAAAAGATGTGGAAATTTTTCACTCATCAAAGCAATCACAAATGGATATATATTTTAGATAAATTAATTCAATGATATAATAATCATTATCATCTCAGGATAAAAATGACTCCCATTGAAGCATCCAAAAAAGAAAATGAAGATCAAGTACATGAGAACCTGTTCCCCTCCTCGAAAGAAATGTTTGAAAACTTCAAGTTCAAAATAGATGATACAGTAAGAATTACAAAGTACAAAGCTATTTTTGATAAAGGTTATCTACCTAATTGGAGTACAGAAATATTCAAAATCACTCAAGTTCATCCAGGGGAAGTCACAACATACTCCATTAAAGATTTAGCAGATGAAGAGATCAAAGGAAAGTTTTATGAAGAAGAACTTACTCTGTTTAATAATGTCAAAGAAGAATACAAAATAGAAAAGATACTGAAACGTAGAACTAGGAAAGGAGTAAAAGAAATGTTTGTAAAATGGTATGGATATCCTGAGAAATTTAATTCATGGATCCAAGATAACTAAACACTAACAACTTTAACGCGATTATCTTTAATTTCAACAATATTTTCACTCATTATCAAACAATAACATTTTGTGTTTTGTACAATACTCTTTGAAAAGGAAGCTTTTATTGTAACGTCAGGTCTTGATTGGATAATTCTATCATTTTGTTTAGATACATCGAACACCAACAATGGGTAATAATAATAGTATACATCTTCTTCCATGAAAATGTAATCCTTTGTCGATTCATAGTAACTGTTTCTAAACTCCTTTGCGAAATTGTATTGTTGAACAGCATTGAACTTATCGAAATCAAACTTTAAACAATCATGAGGATATCTCTCTGAATTTAATTCAACATAAATTTCTTCTAATCCACAGTTGTCAAATTTACCAGCATTTAAGTAGTTGTTATCTCTATTGCTCTGCAAAGCAACCACAATATACTTTATTTTATCGTATTTTGTTCCCAATTTCCATGTGAATTCCCTATTTCCATTAAGTATATTATAACTTTCCAACTGTCTAGAAATAAAAGGCATCTGTACAAGCTTGCTACTCTCAAAAATATTCAACAGTTTATTTTGCATTTCAAGACTAGGAACAATTTTTGGAATAATCCATTGTAATTTTTTAATATTTATCTTAGCTGTATGTTTTTTAGCATCATTAGATGTAATACTATTTTTGTTCTCAGGAGATCTGTAGAGAGTGAGTTGATGCTTTCTACCATAAACTATTTTATTATAACATTCAGCAAATCCAAACATATGTGTCAAAGGAATGCAAAAAGTAATACTTCCTTTTCTATTTTTTGTATACTTGTTAATCTTGTATGTAATAATATCTTTAGTTTCTAGAATCCAACCAAAAGTGTTTTGTTTATTCATGGTGCTGCTATATGTTAAAAGTCCTTTCATCAAACTAGCTCTACCAGGATCCATTATACTTTCAACTTGCATACCATCCATGCTATATGTTGATCTATCAAACAAAAACATTGGTGCATTATTAGTCAACGAGACCTCATCTGTTTCAGCCAACACAGTGTCATCTGGTTTCAATAGTTCACATTCCATATAAATATAAGACTTGTGTAAGTGTAAGTATTGATCACACGTTTCTATGACAAAATTGATTTCTCCATGTTGGTTCAAACTAGATCCAGAGGAAGGAAATATGCTTATAAGATTCTCTTTTTGTATAGAGGTGTCACTCACAATAGGGGTATCAACTACCAATATCCTATCAACAGCCTCAATCATTTTCAATTTATTTAGGGAAATTTCATTTGCTAATTTTCAAAAGTAATAAATGAGAATAGTATGTGTGGTGATTTTCTTTTTAACTTTATATCAAAGTACATTAGGTAAGCCCATCATTTGTAATGAGAACTCACCAGTTCAATATTTTAGAATCCCAAAACTACACAAATGTAATTATCATAGAATCCTTAACTCAAAATCAGAACCAGTTCAATATGAAGTTTTCAAGCCAAACATTATTGAATACATTTCAGATGCTAAACTTTGTAAAAAATTAGTCAGTGAGGTTTCAATGTACACAGACTTTTCTGGATATGAACATACAGTAGAAAAAGAATTGAACAACTATCCCATCACCCTAGCTGAATGTAGAGAAATGATTAATAGTAAGAAATGTGGATACGGAACTTTATCAAAAGGTAGTTCTAACGTTTGGAGTACAAACAATAAAATTGAAGTTGATTACCCAAATAGATTCACAAGCTTCTTCTCTCCCAAAAGATTCTACAAAGAAAATTGTATAGTTATTGAGACGAAAGTTTATTCACATTTCAATCAATCTAAGCCAACCAATATTCTGGCAGATATGAATAATTGCAAGTATCAAGACGGTTTCTGTGAGATCAAGAAAAATGAAATTATAACATGGGATGTTAACAGAGATCAGAAATGTCAATTTATCTCTATTGGAATACTTGATGGGATGTACAATAACAAACTTTGGGTTAACAATAAGAACCAAATTGCGTTAAACTTCCAAACAAACAAAACTGTAAATGATTGTAACGTAGACCTAATGATTAGTGATGAGGGTTTTGCTGTAAAAAGAATACAAAGATCACAATATTCTCCAAGACAAATTCCTGTTCCAGTTCCACCAAATCATCAAAGACCACACCTGGAAGATGACAGAAGAAAGCGTGAACAAGAAGAACAAAAAAGAAAACGTGAGCAAGAAGATAATAGAAGACGTGAAGAAGATATTAGGAAACGTGAAGAACAATCAAGACGTGATCAAGAAGATGCTAGAAGACGCGATCAAGAAAGGCAAAAACAGAATGAAGCTGATTTCGAAAAAAGGAAACAAGAAAAACTAAAGAAGGAGGAAGAGTTCGAGAAAAAGAAACAAGAAAAAGAAAAGAAAGAACTCATGAAACAGCGAAAGGATGAGGATTGGACAGTTCATGATGAACCTCCAAAGAGTGGAGACAAAAAAGCTAACAGAACTAAAAGAGAAATCTTCCAACCACTACCACTACCAAACTATGACGAATATTTGAAAATCAAACAAGACTGCGACAACTTACCGCCCTATGAGGCATTCAAGAATAGCAGAGAAGGATGTGATTCGCTAACAACTTATACAGATTTTATAAACAACATTGCAAACTATGAAAAAGAACAACACTTAAATTTATCAGCAGAAGAAACATGGCAACCTCTTCCATTCCCGGGATATGAAGAATATTTGAGTATTAAAGAAGATTGTGCTATTCTACCAAGTCACGATGAATATAAAACAATTAGAGAAGCGTGTGATGCATTCCCAAGTTACACAGAATTTATAAAGAGGATAGCAAATTATGAACTGTTTCAAACAGGAAAGCAAAGAAGGAAAAGAGAGCTATACTCAGATTTTCAAGCAGCAGGAGAATTCCAATATCTAGAGAACCAATCAAACAATCTACTGAGACATACTACAGAAGTAATGTGTGATATTTTCAACGAGCAAAATGAAGTTCTTGAAAGTCTTATTAGAGAAAATCCAAGAAGATACATCCAAAAACAATTGAATCATACAGCCGTCAAAGTCAGATTTATCGATGTTGCAGAAATTGTACAAGTTACATTCTGTAAAGAAATTGATGAAGAAGAGATTGACTTTATAGACGTTACTCATTTTGATGGACATAAGCTAAGCATTGCACTTACACTAGGACAAATACCAATCAAGATAAAAAGTCTTGGAGATAAAATTTGGTATTACAAAAATGATTATTCAGGAGGAGTCATATCAAGCAAACCACAGCTTCATCCTATGATTGATTATAGAAGTAACATCACTAACATGAAAAGTTTCAAAGAGTTTGATTTAAAATTCTTAGATGACAAAGTAGTATTCCATGAGCACATTCTATTAGATTTGAAGACAAATATTGAAGAAGAACTCATTGAAGAAATGAGAGAAAAGTCTGATGTTTCAATTGAAGCTCATGCTAGTAATCAAGATTCTACTTTACCTCATGAAATATTAGACGATGTAGAAGGATTCTTTGGAAAATGTGGCTTAGAATTTGGAGAGTTGGTGTTACTTTGCCAGCAATGTTCGTATACCTATTTATAGCTAGATCATTTTGGATGATACTTTCCCCAAAAACTTTCATTGATAGAAAAAATAGAAAAAGAAGAAGAGAATATGAGGCTGTAGAGTTGAGAGAAATGGTGCATCGACCGTCTATACAATCTCTAACAGTTGATTAATTTTTAACTAAATAAATGAGATTCTTCAATGCTGGAAATGCTTCTAGTTATTCAATTATGGGTTCAGAGGAAAAACCTAAAGTAGAACTTGTAGAAAATATTCCTAAAGAAATTCCAAAACAATCTAAACAGACTTCACATAAAAAGACAAAGCTATCTAAAACTAATAAAGACTTCTTGAAGATTCTTAAAAGTGGTTCTGGTTTTAAAAGAATTTAGATAATGTGTAGCTCTATATGAACATCACAATCATTATATTCAATAAGTTTATTCTGATCATCCACAAGTTTTAAAGTTAGTGTGTTACAAGTGTTAGCAGTTTTATGATAGATCAAATTTACGGGTTCATATTTTATGGTTTTACTCTTTTTCAAAAACTTACAAATTATATTACTCTGTTTTTCTTTCATAAAAGAATCACAAATAAGACTACAAGATAGATATATAAAATTGTTGTTATCACTCTCCAAAGTTCCATCGACTTTTACAACGGCTATAGATTTGGGTTTGAAGTCTTGAGGAAAATCAAACTGAAATGACTTCTCATTAGATCTAAGATTAAGAAATAAATAAACCATTTATTACACATTAAATTATGTCATCTGACTTTGCCGATTATTCTGTTAAAAATTATTACTCCATTCGAAAAAATAATCCATTACTTCCTTCTTCAATAAGAGCTTGCATCATAGGAAAATCAGGATGTGGTAAAACCAATTTGCTGATGAATTTACTATTGGATAAATTTGAAGGAGATGATTATTTAGACTATGACAACTTGTATATATTTTCAACTACACTTTTTCAGCCCTGTTATCAAGCACTTATAAATGGTTTTGAAAATGGGTTGAGTAAAAAGGATATTAGAGAATGCTTTAAGAATCAGAATTTTATGGTTGAGAAAAAAGATAAACAAGAAATAACTATTTGTACTTCAGATAGTTTAGATGATATTCCTGATCCTTGTTCTATTGATCCTAATAAAAAGACTTTAATAATATTTGATGACTTGATGTTAGAAAAGCAAAATAAAATAGAACAGTACTACACTAGAGGTAGACATAATAACATTGATTGTTTTTACATTTCTCAAAGCTATATTAAACTTCCTAAGAATACTATCAGAGAGAATGCTAATTTTTTTATAGTGTTTCCTCAAGACAAGTTAAACTTGGATTATATTTACAGAGATCATTGTAGTGAATTAGATAAAGAAAGATTTTTAGAGATGTCTTCAGAGATGTGGAAGGATCAGTATTCTTTTTTGACTATTGATAAGACTAGTGAAGCAGATAGTGGTAAATTTAGAAAGCTGCTTAAGTATTTTTATATTTTTTGACTGTCTATTTTTGGGCTATACTTTTTATTTTTCATGTTTATTTTTCTGGACTCTTTTATTATTCCGTTTTTCCGTTTTTCCGTTTTTAGTGTGTAATACGGAAAAATAAAAGAGTCCAGAAAAAAAAGGTCAGAAAGAAAGGAGATCGTAAAAACGGAAAAACGGAAAAACGGAAAAAACGATAAATAAAGTATGATTAAATGGAAGACGAGTCTATCATCTACAGACCTCATAGACCACATATGTATCTACACAAACACACATGCAATAAGGCTTGTCGGAATCAACACTCGAAAATTAGAAACGATGAGAGAGAATCTCCTGAAGTATTTTACTTCTTGTCATCTGAACGCAAGTTAACAGACGAACTAATAACTTTTGATAAAATCGAGAAAAACTTTTTCCTCATTAGCAATGATGAGCTAATGCAAGATATAGATAAAAATTATAAAACAAAATTTCATGGAGGAGACGAACCGATATTTTTATATTGTAACGACAAACCTTTTTGTAAAAGATATGGTCCATATGGAGACAACATCATAGATATAGAACAAACTAGAGATACAACTAGATTCAATAAAAAGAAGAATATGTCTACACCAGAACCAAAACTTTTCAATAGACATGAAAATAATATAAATTTTAAAGATAAAAGTGAAAAACCAAAGGAGTCCATAAAGTATGTTAGAAAAGGTGTGAGTGAATTGACAATAAAAGAGAAAACAACCCACAATAATGAAGAAACAAAATTAGATGATACATGGAACCCTATTACTCAAGAGCAATTTTTAAGTATGTGGGACCCTTAAACATTTTTTTCTTTAATAAATGAGCACAACAACAACGACTACTAAAATAAATACGCTGAACACAATTAAAAAGGAACAACCTATAACATTAAATGATTTGAGAAACACAGTTTTAAGAGAGGCTATTAATAGGGTTGGAGGAGAGGATTCAATCATTTCGTTTTTAGATATGATTCGCTGTTTTACAAAAGAAGATCTAAAAAAATTTGGAGAAGACTCACAAGAAGTTATTATCCTCATCAAACAAAAAATGCAACAAATATTAAAAGCCGTAGGAGTAGACAGATCAACCATTCTATTAGACATCATTGGTTTATCACATCAGCTTCTTATGATTGAACATAGTGTGTTGGAGGATAATTATGACATCGTAACCAATGAGAATGAGGAATTGAAGAAAATTGTAGTATCATATGAACAGAAGGAAGATAGAGAAGAAGATATGAGAATACTGGAAGCAAAGACCGAAGAAGCAAAAAAGCAGGTACTAGCATTTAAAAGAAGTAATATAACCTACGCCGATTTATTTAAAAAAAAGATTTAAAAGGTGTGGATTGCGCGAAAGAATTATTTACGGTCCATGATGTTCAGAGACAAATCTATCTAAAACTAGTAGATTTAATTGATAATAACAAAAAAGAAGCCTTCTTTTGTATCACTACTCCTAATAAAGAAACGTTTTTACAATACAATCCTAATTCTATTCATAAATTAAGAGGAGGAACACAAATTAATATTAGAACAGTTAAAGCCATTGAGGTATTTAGGGATACGTTGCTAGAAAGGTTTACAAATGAAAAAATTGATACATATTTGAATAAGCATTTTCCAACAAGTAATAAGAAAGCGCTAGAAAAATTGATGATTAAAAAAGTGAATGATTATTATCTTCCAAAAATGAAATTTTGGTAAAATATTAGCTAAATCTTTCTAGGAGAAAGAAGATTTATTTTATTAGATTGAGGTTCATAATCTGAAGTTTTCTTTTCTATTACTGTTTCAGATTCATCTCTTGTTTTTGATTTACCTTTTGTCTTCATAACAACATATTTACTGATATCCATCTCTTTTGCTAATTCTCTTAAACCATCATATAACGTTTGAGTAGAAAAGTTGTGTTGTTTTACCCAGTTTCTTTTATCAATTCTAAGAGGGGTTTTGTCTTGATCGCTGATGTACATTCTAGCTAGTGTAATTTTTTGTGACATTTAACTAGAGAAAAAATAGGCTATTGTAAGAGATTGTAAGAGATTGTAAGAGTTTGTAAGAATGTATAGAGTGTATAACAAGACCTAATGATTACATACCAATATTCAAATAAATAACCCCTAAGTCCTTCTTCTTGATTACTTTCTGTTTGACTAGTTCATCTAACATTGCATGAATTTTATTATACTCATCTTTGTTACCAGCCTGTTATGAACCAATAGATAGTCTCAATGAGTCAATTAGAGAGTTGGTATTTGATGGTATGAAAGAAATAGAACTTCCTGATGTTGAAGATGTTCCAGCTGTAGTTGGGGTCTTAGCAACAAAATATTTAGACTTTATGAACGCCCATTTATCACTAGAATCTGAATTGTATCTTTTAGATTCTTTATCAAAACCTTGGTACAGAGCATTGGAGCATAATATTATTTTTTGGTAATTTGAAGAATCTTCAGTTGTAATCTTATTCAAGTCGGGAGACTTTTTGAGTAGTAACTCCATCAACCCTTCAGTTGCTGTGTATTCTTCATTATTAACTTTGATAATATTCTGATCAAACGAAATGTCTTTGTTACCAATAGTATATTTCTTTTCTGCTTTGTTGAACTTGATTGAGTATCCAGCATTACTTCTATCTGAATTATCTTGAAGATAACTTACAATTAGATTACTTACAACTTGAGGTGAAGAAGAACTAGGTAGAGAGGGAGGTAGGATTACTGAGGGTTGCTTAATAAGACTTTTACGATTTGTCTTTGGTGTTGGTGTAGTTGCAGGGGCTATTGAAAGTTGAGAAGGAGATTTAAAGTTGTTTAGAGTTTCTACTATTTTGTCTTTTCATCAATTATTTCTTCTTGTAGTTTTTTGTTGGATTCTAAAATAGGTTTAAATACTTCAATTCTATAATCTTCTACATGTTCTAAATCTGATCGCTCTTGTAAATTCTTGATTTTATGCTCTTTTCGGTTTTTCAAAAAGTTGTTTACTATTTCATTACGTCGTTTAGGGTCATATATCTCAACTACAGAATGCATTTATTACAGGAAATATCATCGATTTTAGGTTGATTTATTCAATATTTCTGAAAATTTATTATAGGTTTTAAATGATACTTTTCTTGCTCTATAAATGGACCCTAAAATTAATTATGAGGAATGGAACAAAAAAGACCTTCTTACTCAAGTGAGAAAAGAAAATAAGCAGAGAAACCCTAAATTGTCTGATGATCAATTGATAAAAATGACAAAAGCAGAACTCATCAACTTCCTCCAAGCTTCGACAACTCCTAATGTTGTGGAGAAAACACGTCAAGCTAATGGGAAATATTTCAAAGTAAACGAAACAGAATTTGAGCAAGATGCTGAAAAGTTGGTGATGGAGGAACGAAAGAAGTTTTCAGAAACCAAAAATAGTAAATATCTTAAAATGACTATGTTCAATCAGATAGATTCTGAGTCCCAAATTCATAATTGTTTAGATGAAATATATAATGAAGAGAATAAGGCTATTAAAATCAATTTAAGTTTCGGCTATGTAACCGTGAAAAATAATGATTTGAAACTATTCAAACCTGGACGCAACTATTTCTTCGATACAGTGAAACAAATAAACAACGCTGAAGACATCTCTAATTTGAAAAAAGAAATAACTGTTGAAACTATTACACACAAGCTAACTAACAGATTTCCTGATTCATCAACACGTTTAGTTGGTGTCTATGCTATGGCAGTAAAAATTACACGATTAGATTTTCCTATTGGAGCACCGATTAATTTACCTCAATACATCTTGAACTCCACCTCAATCATAAGTCTACAGAATGTTGATAACAATATGTGTTTCTGGTATTGTATTGCTGTTGCTGATGAAGAGAGCAGAAAAGATAGAGTTAGCAGGAAAGCTAAGCAGTTATTCAAAAACTTCTATGGAGCTGAGAAACGTGTTACGAATTATGTTGGATTTGATTATGTTAACGAGCTTGATAAATATGAAAAATTTAATGAAGATTTCGCAGTTAATATTGTAAGCTACTATGAAGATAAAACAATTTCATACGTTAGGAAATCATCTTACAACGCTTCAAGAAAACCTATCTACCTAAATTTATATCTCAACCACTTTTCTTACATAACTGATTTGAGTAAACTATATTCTATTTTCTTGTGTCAAAGGTGTGGAAAGAAATTTGGAGATAATGCTCACCGAGATAGACATTATGATAGCTGTACCTTAACACAAGAAGATACATTTGACAAGTACCCAACACTTTGGAAGAAAGATCGAAACTTGATTGTAGAATTAGCTGATATCTATGATGTAGAAGTTGATTTTAAGTATGATTATATGATAACTTTTGATATGGAGTCTAGAATGCAAAAAATGAACGATAAGGTTAGTGATAAATTAACATACACTATGAAACACATTCCGACGTCTGTGGCAATTGCTACCAATGTACCTGGGTTTGAAGATGATAAGTTTATACTAAATGAAGATCCTAATGAGCTAGTGAAAGAAATGTTTAAATGGTTTGATGATGTGGCTTCGAAAGCAAGTCAACTAATGTTAGAGAAAATGCAACCACTATTATGTCGATTAGAATCTAATGATTGGTTGAAGTCTAAGGTACAAAGATATTGTGAAGTGATTCCTATAGTTGGATTTAATAGTAGTTTCTATGACATAAACTTAATATCTTCATCTTTCGTTCAAGAAATTATGAAGAGAAGAGAACTAGATAAAATTGATCCAATGGTAATTATAAAGAGGCGACAAGATGGTGGTGTTGACCCAATGGTAATTAAAGAAGGAAACAGATACAAGACTATAAAAACAAGACAGTTTCAATTTCTAGATCAAATGAGTTATGTCGCTGCTGGCACTAAATTAGAAAGTTTCATCAAAGCATATGTTAATGTTCAAAAAGGATGGTTTCCTTATGAATGGTTTGACTCCTATGATAAGCTGAATTATCTAACACACAATTTGACAATAGAAGATTTTAATTCTTCATTGAATGGTTCTATGGCTCAAGAAAACTTTGATGACTTGATGAAGATTTGTGTTGATAAAAATTTAGTGACAGTTAGAGATTTATTAGAATGGTATAATATCTTAGATGTAAGACCAATGTTAGAAGCTTGTTTGAAACAAAAAGAATTCTTTTACACATTCAAGCTAGACATGTATAAAGATGCTTGTTCGCTACCAGGTCTTAGTGAAAATATTTTGTATCAGTTTCAAATTAGTGGATTCGAGGAATATTTGAAAGAAAAACCGAAGAAGATTGAGCATTATACCCCTATAAGTGAAACACAAATAAATAAGAGAATAGATGGTTATCGTCAACAAGATGAAAAAGCAAAAAGACCACCTTGTGATTTGACTGTCGATTGTGTTAGAGAAATACTAGAAAATGGGAACCATAGTTGTATATACTGTTGGTTAGAGTTAGGTAGTGATACATGGTCTCTTGATAGAATTGATAATGCTCTACCTCATACCAAATCCAATTGTGTTGCTTCCTGTATCAAATGTAATAAAGCTAGGTCAGATAAGATGTTCAAAGAGTTTTACAGACACAAAGCAATGTTGAGATTCGAAAAGGATCATCCAATGATCTGGTTGTTTGGAGAAGAAAACAAAAAAGCATTCTACAAGCTCAAAAAGAATATAACTGGTGGTGCATCTATTGTGTTTCATAGATATCATGAAGTAAATAAAACAGAAATAACACGAGCTCATTACAACGGTACCGAATGGACGTATCCGGAAAAAGGTAAAGCTGTAAAGAAAATAGTAGGGTTCGATGCAAATGCTTTATATCTTCATTCCTTAGGAGAAGAGATGACTTGTGGAAAACTATACTTTAAAGAAAATGATAATTGGAGTGAAATTGAGAAACAAGTTTTAGACAATTCATTCTTCGGATTTTTAGAAGTTGATATTGAAGTCCCTAAAGATAAGTGGAACTATTTTAGTGAGATGTGTCCAATCTTTGTAAATAAGGAATATGATGAAACTATCTGTGGAGATTATACATTAAACCTTTTGAAATCCTTAGAAAGAAAACCAACAAAAAGTAGAAAGTTAGTTGTTTCACTTCAAGCCAAACAAATATTAATTAAGTCTACAAGACTGCGGTGGATGTTAGAACATGGTTGTGTTGTTACAAAACTCTACGGATATATTGAAGCAAAACGGAGGAGAATTTTCAAAGGCTTTATGGATTGGGTTTCAGATGAAAGAAGAAAAGGTGACGTTGACTCAAAGTATGCAATCATATCGGAAGGTGCTAAACTTGTGGGAAATTCAGCATTTGGTAGAACAGGAATGGATAAAAACAAACATACAAAAGTAAGTTTCTGTAATGAAGTGGAGTTTAATAGAGCTAAAAACGATTACTTTTATTATGATGCAGAGGAATATAATGGGATTTACGAAGTAACAAAAAGACCAAAAAAGGTTAAACAGAATATGGCTCTACAAATTGCCTGCAGTGTTTACGATGATTCGAAGTTGAATATGTTAAAATTCTACTACGACTGTATAGATAAGTATGTCGATAGGTCTGACTTCCAGTACATTGAAATGGATACCGATTCAGCTTATATGGCTATTACTGGCAATACTTTAGAGGATTTGATTAAACCTGAGATGAAGGAGGAATTTGAGAGAGATAAATTTAATTGGTTTCCTAGAACTGATACAGAGGAGCATCGCCGAATAGATAAAAGAACACCAGGTTTATTTAAAGTGGAAAAAGAGGGGGATGGTATGATAGCATTATGTAGTAAAACTTATTGTATTTGGACAAATGACGATAAATGTAAAGTTTCTTCAAAAGGTGTTCAGCAGAAAAGAAATAGCTCTATTCTAACTAAAGAAAAATATTTAGAATGTCTTGTTAATAAACAAACAATAGTTGGACTGAATAAAGGATTTAGATTCCAGAATCAAGAAATGAAAACTTATGAACAGAAAAAGATAGGATTATCTCCTGTATATGGAAAAGGAGTTGTGATGGATGATGGTATTCACATTAGACCTATTATATTTGAGTAAATAGAGTTAGAATAGAATTTTTATAATCATGTTTTTCTAATAATTTTAATAAGAGTAGACAGTAGTATCCACAATGATGAGTATCAAATTTTTGTATTTGAAATGTTGAAGTAGTGATTTCGCTTGAAGTATTACGTTTAAGATATTTTATTATTTCTTGAGGGGGTCCAAACCAAAAGAGTCAAAATAAAATAATTCTTTTTTATTCGCTTTATAACACACCCAATGAGTACCTTTATTATCTGAACTATCAAGATTAATGATGCCTACTTCTACTTCTTTACGTTTTTCTGGTAAAGTATCTCTCATAAATACACCTCTAAAGTTTTTAATTTTTAAATCTTTTGCTATTTCTAATAAATCTACATTTGTTAATGGTTTCAAATCTTTATTCAGCATTTAATAAAACGTAATAATGGTAAAGAATTGAATGAAAAGAGTGTTGGTTAACACTTGATTTTTTTGCCGTTTCTTCATGGTTCTGACGGTTGATTTTTTCATGTTTGCTCGACGAGAATTTTTGACTGATTTTTCTGATTTTTTCAGTTTTTTTCATGATTTTTTTTTCGTTTTTTTCGATTTTTTTTCAATTTTTCTTGCATATTTTTCGGATCTCATTAAGTGGATAATCCTGAGCTTTTGAGTGGGGTTCGAACTTTCTAGCATTCAAACACAAGGCAGGCGCTTTACCATTCTGACATGAGAACAAATTGATAAGAGAGTTGAAAAAGTGTTTAAGTGTAAAGAATTTGTTATCAGTTGGGGTGAAAATTGACTGTTTTGAGAGGTTGAAAAAAGTGGTATTATTTTCGTGTTCGGAACACGATTTTCGTGCTCGCCTAAAATGGGCGTTTTTCAGCTAATTGTTTTGATAATTCAAGGAAACAGAAGAGAAAGTGTGGAAATATGGGTGAAAAAGGGGATTTGAAAAAATGGTGGGGAAATGGAAACGGTACTATAATCCTCCATTACTATACTACTATTGTTCATTGACACGACGTTCAATCTCACGGATTCGTATGTGACACTGTTGTTAGCCGAAAGCCCCAATTTTATGTATTATAACTTTCCTCTGAAAGCTATATTAAATATTATTCAGAACGAAAGCCAGTTCAAAACCGAGAGTTTTTCCACATGGATATCTAGTCCATTCACACAAAACTAGTTCAAATCATGATTTTTTCGCTGAAAAAATCAGAAAGGTTTTAGAGCCTTTGGTGTTGGATAAAGTGGCACCTGCAATTCTATTGGATGGGGAGAGTAGTCTTCGGGTATATGGAGAGGTACTGCACATAAATTCAGTTCAAATGACCAACAAAAATTGTTCAGGCAACTGATTCCAGAATTTTAAGATGCGATTGGCATCTAATGCGACTACTGAGCCTAAAATACGGTAGGAAAATAGCCAAAACGGCATCCTATTTTCTTTACGGTTCAAAGGATAATAATGGAGTATGAAAGGCAGGAATTTTAGGAAGTTTATCTGAAGATCAATTTTACGGAAGACTCCAAAAAGTGAAGAGACATATTGATTGTCGTGTTTTCGACTGGTTCGTCAATATTTTTGAAGTAAAAAATTGAATGTTAATTCAGGATATTACGCAACCGAAGTGGAGGATCACTTACATGCTTGTTGAAAGTGCAATGGCCCTTCCCAAGCTTCAATCTGGATTGATCCTTCAATACAGGGTGGCCGATAAGTATAGGACGCTCGCTTTCAGCGTTCCCTGGCACGGTGCCAAGGGATATTTTCGAAAAATTTCGAAACTTTTCGAAAGTCCAGAGACTATATAAGTAAGCTTCTCAGTCATTTGTTCTCACTTCTCCATATCGCCGAGCTATGAAAAGTTCTCCTCATCGTCCTTCCATTGAACTCTTGTTCAAGAGAGGCCTCGGAAGTGCTGAGATCGCTCGACGCCTTCAAATTTCGTCTTCGACGGTTCGAAACGTTGTCGCTGCTATCAAAAAGCGAGGAGATGCTTCTGAAGTAAAAAAAAGCGGACGTCCACGTTCTGTCAACACCCGGAATACTCGTGCAATCATCAAGAAACGGATCATTCGAAATGATGGATTGAGTCTCAATAGGATGGCGTCACAGCTTGGAATTGCCCGATCCACTGTCCAATCGATTGGCAAGAACGACTTGAAGCTCAAAAGTTACAAACTACGTCGTGGACAGTACCTCTCGGACAAATCGAAAGCGATGCGACTCGAAAAATGCCGAAAATTACTCCAGCACTTTCAAGTGCGCCGCGTCTCTGACGTTATCTGGACAGACGAGAAGATCTTCACTATTGAACCTCTTCCCAACCGTCAAAACCCGAGACAGTTATTGTCAAAGGATGACAGCATGTCTCCGAAACGTCGTCTTGCCCATAACCGCCTTTTCCCGAAAAGTGTCATGGTTTGGGCCGGTATCACGGCAACCGGTAAAACTCCGTTGGTTTTCATTGAAAGAAATGTGAAAATCAACTCGGAGGTGTACCAAAAGATTGTGTTGATGGATAATTTGTTACCCTGGGTCACTCAGCACTTTGCTGGTGGTCCATTTATCCTTCAACAAGACTGGGCACCGTCCCATGGCTCGAGATCGACATTGGCCGTCTTGGAGGCGCATTTCCCTGGATTCCTGGACAAGAACTTGTGGCCTGCTTCCAGCCCGGATCTCAATCCGATGGATTTCAGCGTTTGGGGCATGTTGGAAGGGAAGATCGCGGGAAAAGTTTTTGCTACTGTCGATGACTTGAAGGCCGCTCTCGAGGTAGCATGGGCTTCGATCGACGACGGATACCTGCGGCGCACTGTCAATTCGGTGAAGAAACGTTTGAGAGCCTGTGTCAAAGCTCGTGGATCCAACTTCGAATTTCTCTTGTAAAATCAAATTTTCTGCTTATTTTTTGTTGTTTAATAAAGGTTGTTCTCGAAAAATCCTCAAATTGAAAAAATGGGAGCACTTTCAAAACGTCCTATACTTATCGGCCACCCTGTATAACACGACTAATCCTGCTGAAAATTTCAACAAACTGATCAAACAAGTCATCTGAAGTCCAGTGCCATTAAAAAAATTAGTCGAAAAACTCGATGAAATTTGTAACGAAAAGCTGGACGAGCTCAGAAAATGCGCTGTCAATGAATCTGAGATGGTTGTGTTAAGTACACATACAGATTTGATGGACGAAAACGAAAAGAAGTCGTTGTTTGAAAAAATTGGACTCCAATGCCCCATTCTTCTCTCCTACGACCTCCCAGAATTGAACTATCAACAATGTGATCAACAAGAAAGAATAATGAAACATGTTCGTGTACTCTCCTCTACTGCTGGCTCATATGTCCTTGAAAACACGAATATTCCTGTTTCTCAGCCAAACAGGGCCTCGTTAGTCTCAAGAGTGGAGGATCACTTACATTGTTCAGTATGCTCGGTAACCTTACCAGCTTACGTGTGCAGTCACCTGTAAGTAAGGAATCCCATTACAGAAAATAAGTTTCTTGTAGGTATGCATGTATCGCAACCTTAACCAGGACAGAACGAAAAGTCGAACTTTGGCGTTTAGAGGGTTTCATACGCGGAGACTCAATAATTTCTGTACCACGAAGAGCTGGCAAAAAACCGTCTGATAGAGTCGGAACGAGTGCTTCTTCATCAAATTTCATTAGAAAAACTAACGAAATTTCACAGTAATACCCATGTCATCTTAAAGGTGGGGGGACAGGAGATTTTACGGGGGATTTTTGGGGCCAGAGTATGCATTCTACCGTGACGGTGTACAACGCTTAACGCCACTCTGCGTACAGCTGTCGTCCTCGCCTTTATGTATGCAATCGGGCGACCGCTTTCTCTTTGCCCGTGTAGCTCAGTCGGTAGCGGCGCCGCACCCTCAATCCTCGACCCACACGTTCAACTCCTCGAGGGGCATATTTAAACGAAATTTCGAGAACATTTTTTTTTCATGTCCCCCCACCTTTAAGAATTTCAAAAATGTTACATTTCAGACTATCAATTTTCAATGAGACTAGTGATGAGGAGAATGAAGAAATCGATTTGACCGACTATGAGAGAACTACTCAGAGTGAAAGTAGATCAGAAATCTCTTACGAAGTTTCTAACACACATAACTCGCCAACGCAGCACATTTATCTCAACTCTTCCTCTTCTTCTCTAAACGAATCTTCAGATACACTATCTTCTAGAAGATCCAGGTAAAATACACCTACATATATTATCGTTTTCATATCACGAAAAATTTTGAGGAGAGCAACAAGAAGATTCAGTCCGAGCTGCAGCTCTTCGATTTTTGATTAGATAAAAATTAATTGCTGCTGTTTTTTTTTGTTAATTTTTTTGTTTTGTTCGCATTTTTAATCAATAAAGATTCATGTTACATGTTTAACTTTCTGGGTACCTGGTCAAAAAGTGTAGTCAAAGAGACTTTGTAGTCAAAGAGACAAGTGTAGTCAAGGAGACTTTGTAGTCAAAGAGAATGTGGAGTCAAAGAGTAGGTGTAGTCAAAGAGTGGTGTAGTCAAAGAGTAATTGCCAATAAAAATGGCGCGCGTTCAAATATTAATTAATTGCCG